CGCACACACCGGGGAACGCTGGAAACCGGGTTACCTGGCGCCCGTCGATTCTGCCTCCACGTTGCGGCTTTTTGTTTACATCGCGGATTGGGATAGGAGCGAGGCGTACCGCGAACCCCAACTGCGTCGTCGCTGCGTACGGCTTGCGAGGCCGCAGTGAACTGTGGACGCGCGCCGCAGCTTTCCCGCTTTCCGCCACCCTCGGCCGCCCTGGCGGCAGCACCGAGGCCGTCTGCACTTTGGCATACCCTGCGCGGACGCCAACCGTGTACGCCCACGAATCTGGAGACGATGGTGTACATTGGACTCCGTTTCTGGGAACTGTTGGCAGCATCCCCCTTTGATAAGTAGAATTGTAGAGGACGCGCTTTTTTGGATTTTTCTGTTTTTGTTTTCTTTTAGAGCTTGATTAGGGTAGTTTGATGAAGTGGGTGTTGTTGATTAGAAAATTTTGTTGGGGTAACTGGTATTAAGTATTAAGTTGGAATTTACTTTTGCATTTTGCAAATAATAAATGTATTCAGTTTTTGTAATTATGATGGTATATTGTTATATTTATATTTTATTTTATTTGTGTAAATACAATGTAAGAAACGTTAAGAAGAAGACCTTTTTAAAAGTTCAACTTGAGACTGCAAGCAATGTTATTATAACAACTAATAGAAGTTTTTGGTGAGAATTACAATTAAAATTTACATTTCCCTCATTTGCAAAAATTCTGTATTAATTTATTTACAAGAAGGTCAAGGAATCTCTGTACTGACCTCATGTGGAAGGTATATTTTTTTCAGGAGTTGCTGGAATTTAGTATTGTTTGGGGTTGTCGCTTACGACATCAGCCAGTCATTTTTGGGACGAGGGTGAGTCCATGCGACGGATTTTTATTGGTTTCGAGTGCGTATTACGTCTCCTTTCATGGGTAATGTTGGGGATCTCGAGAATTGTTCGGGGATTACTCAAATCTCATCTACTTCATGGCAGTATTTTTTAGTCCACTTTCCTACGAACGGACCTTCTTTTTATTTCAGAAAGGAAAAAGGGGGAAATATTTCGGACAATGCTGTAATTTGTGACACGGGGATGTTACTTATACCTTTTAGACCGCTCTCAGCAATCTATTCCGATTTATTCTTAAAGAGATACACGAGTTTCCTCTTCAGATCTGATTGATGGAGAGAGGATCCTTTCTACCGAGTATATTTCAATTTGCCAGACGTAGAACGGCGAACAAAAGTTTAAGATCAAAAGGAAAGAAGAGGTACATCATTAAAATCACGTAATCAACGAAAAAATGAAAGATCTTTTTTATTATATAATAACTGACGAATTATTTATTCACTGTATACAGCTGTTTTACCGAGAAGTTCGCTGTTTTCATCGCATTCAATGTTTATTTTCAAGGAAAATAAAAGATATATCGTTTCCATGATATTGATCCTTCTTTCTCGGTACTTTCTAGAATTAGAAAAAGTATAAACTGTATCATATAATTCGTAATATTGTTCAACTGTTATTTTAAAACTGTAATATTATTTTTTTATTTTTTAGTTTCCCATTTTTTGACAAAATTCTTCTTCAATTTTGCTGTCAGTAAATAAGTTTCGATTTAATACCGAAATTTTCAAATTACTGGAAGATTTTCGAGGCGTCCTCTTCTATCATGAGAATGACATTGAATTTTATAAAAGAGGATAAGAAAGTCTTATCTATAGGAAGTGAATATTACTTGAATAGTGTGTACTCGAACGCAGTTTTCCGTTACACGGGAAATAAGTTTGCCGAGCAAATCGTACATTTTTGGAATATTTCAACGCGAAACGGTTTTGATTAATGCGCGATTATCAATTCATCTCGTCAAATGGAATAAGTTTCGTTCCACGGAAAAAAGGAAGAAGGATTCACAGAAATACTGGGTAGCTTATAATGTCTAATTCATCGAATTCATTGCGATTCCTCTGTCGATAGATTGAATGGAGGCTCGTTAAACTCCGGGAAAAGCTCAATGCAAAATGGATGTACGCGGACACAGTCGTATCACGAGTCATTTATCAATTCGAACGGCTTGCCAGAGTTTGAACAGAGTCGGGCGAATTTATCGCTACCTGGACATCGATTTCCTTCGACTATCAAACTGATGATTCAATCGACGCGCTGCCGCAATCCTTGCGGGACAAAGAAACCGTCTAACAATGGAATCGCAAGGATCCATACTTGATAGAATCTTCGTTGCGACTCGATCTTTAAAGAAAACGAAAAATATTCTCAATAAGCTGCAAAGAATTTACTCGATCCTTCTGTTAAAAAATAAAATTAAAAATTTAAGATATTATTAAAATTTCAAATTTATATATTAAAATATAAAATGTTTAGTTTATTAAAATATAAAATTAACAATTTCGTAATTACTCAAGTTACCAACGCAAACTACTCTAGTTTCATTCGTTCTTCGATATCATAAATTTTTGCATTTTGCACAATTAATATTTCGTAATGACATCTAAGAAGGGCGTGCTAATGTTTACATTGCAAAGATATCATTTCCGAACGATGTTCTTACGACAGAAAATGAAAAATCAACGCATAAAACGCGATAGTTGGTGTCCACGCAACGACCAAGTTTATTATCAACGAGGCGTGAAGTGGGCCGAGGGCAAAGCGTCAACCATCTCGCTAATTGAACAATCCGAGGCATCCTCGATGGACGGGACACCCACGTACGCAAAGGAACTCCGTGTTTGAGTCTTGTGGAGTACAACAAGGGAAAAAAGGAGAAGAAACCAAGCAAATTATTCCATTGGACGGGAAGAAGGGGGAAGGACGTCGAAGGGTGAACCGAAAACCACTCAGAAATTGGGTCGCCGGTGTGAACGATGGGCCATCATTAAAACGACAGTAATTACGAGAACCTCCGGTGCCACTCCGAATTAGGAAACTGCATTCAAGAAGCGAACGGTTAATTGGCGAATACGGAAAGATCGACTCGCTTCATTACAGGGTTGCAAGGTAATTGATTATTATTCGGATGTTCCTGCGACGAAGTGATCATCAGGATGAACGAGTTAATTGGAAATAAACTACTTTCGTAGTCCGCGATCCGTTATTAATATTTCGCGACCGTTATTTCGTAGGAAATTATATGCGTCCGTTAATTCTGCAGCGAACAAAATGAATCGAATGAAAAGTAAATCGACACGATTTATTAATATAAATGTTTATTTATAACTGCTGTAACAGTGTACTAATATCATCAATATTAACAACCTCATTCTGGAAAACCTAAGTTCTAAATGAATACGTTTCGTCACATCAAAACTTTATTACAAATCTGAAAAAGATGGATACATTCGATCAAACGGGCTTCCTATACCATCTCGAATTGGATGACGGGAAACTAATGAAATTCACTAACAAGTTATACAAACAACCGAGAGGTTTATAAATAAGTAAGTACCTAGTGGAACACTAAGGGCTTGTCCAAGTGGTAAATGAATGCATATACAGGTATGTTTTACATTGATAAGTAAATAATTTAGCAACTATAAGTATACAAATGTAAATTGGTGTTACATGAAAAGTTAAAGAATAATAAGGTTCCATACGCTACGTATTTATTGTTATGCAGTTTATTAGTTGCTCCTGAATTCCATTAATTCCATAGAATAAACTCTATTTACATAAAAACTTATACGACAATATATAACACAAAGAGAATCACAGTAGCTCCTTCCACAAAATTAAATTTGCAAATTTTCCTAGTACAACTCCCCTTTTCTATTTCCTTGAATTTCGATTTGTTCGACGAACCGTTCACTTAAATACACTCCTACTGAACACGGTAAGAACAATTGAGAGCGTAATACTCGAGAAGTTTACTCTGTTGTGAAATGTAATTCAGCGATAAAATACCATTGCCAATCGATAAGTCTAATAAAGCACCATACATACAAAATAAAATGTGGTATTATTCTCATTAATTATAATTTATATACAATTTCTTATAAAATCTTTTAATCGTTATTTTACGCTTAATCTCTGAAACTCCGCTCCGGAGTCTGCGAAACAAGGAGAAACTTTGTCAACGGTACAATCGATTTTGTAGAAAAACTCGTGAACTTCATTTGGAACGCTAGTAAATATCAAAATAAACTTTTTTTTCAACCGAGGAATGTATGTACAATAAAAACAATTCCTCGAAGGACACGTTCAAGCATAGTACACGCTAAAATTTTAAGAAAGCCTGGTAAACAATAAATGAATTTTACGTAAAACGGTTTACACGTAAGTAGTAGCGTATCTCTCCATTGTTTGATACATTTCTGTTAAGACAATTTCCTACTGTCGGGTTGTTTCGTTAACTATTTACAACAGCGTTTCACTACATCGCGTTAGGAAGGAAGAGTCAAAATCAAATCTAAAAGTAGAAACAGATCAAAATCCCAAGCAAATCGGAGAGGACGAAAGAAGGGGACACAAAAGTGTCGAACGTAAAGTTTTGCGTAACAAGGCGCTACAACGTAGAGTATATGTAAAAGCAAATTGAATACAACGTTTGGCTGGACTTGTTGCTCGTTTTACGCAAGGTTCTTGATCGACTTACGTAAGAAGTACATCAATTAGATTACATCGAGCGTTACGTCGTCGTGGATTGTCTTTCCTTTTGTCTGATTACAGTGAATCAGCTATTAGACACCTCAATAAGCTATTATTCTGAAAACAATGCGGACAAAGTAGCAACGAGAGTAATTAAAGAAAAGCTGTTTAACAAACGGGCAGTAAGTATTATAATAAAACTTCGGTCGCCGGATTAATATCGGATAAATTTCATATAACATTAACGTCTTGTGAAACGAGGAACGAAACGTTCGAACTTCGTTTCGTGAATTCTCACTGCTGACTGTTGATCCTTCGACGCTTTTCAATGTTCACACGACAGAACGAGAAACCGCAGTGTTTATTGAAATAATTATGCGAAGCATTAAAGTGTCAGAGCGTCGAACGATCATCAACTATCATAATTTAATTACAGATTTCATCTCGAACTATTTATTTTTATGAGCAGCCATCGGGATCGGTATTCGAAGGTCATGAAGTAACTTACATTTCATTGATTCACGTCGGTATTTCTTATTAAGGATTTAATAATAATGCGAATAATAATATAATAATAATAATAATAAAAATTATAGTAATTATAATAATAATAATAATAAATCATTATTTAGAATTATTGTACATCGATATATTATTTAATATAATCTATTTTATATATTCTATATTAATATAGACTTCTATCTGATTCAATTAAATTCTTAAATCTTTATATTCTTGTTTTGTATCACCTGCCGAGTAAATTCTGGCAACTCGAGCGAGAAACACTTATTTAACGGGGGAAAGAAATTACACCACCAGAGCGTCGTCACTTTTAC